TCCATTCTGAAACATAACCAAGGTTTTTGCAACTCTACCTTGGTCAGTACGCGCGCGCCATCATATCTCTCACGTCCAAACATAATCAAGGTTTTTCGCATCGCCACCTTCATAATTGAACATAATGTCGGGTCCTACTTCGCTGAAGTCACAAAAAGCACTTTTGACGCGATATTGCAACAATTTAGCATCTACTGTGGAAAAAAGCAAAGAACTTTCAAAATTAGAGATTCTAGCTTTGAGGGATGCCACCATTCGAGCACAAGTGCAAACGCAAATATTTGAACTCAATGCGACCTCAAAATTAGTTGATGATTCACTAGCGACGTTTACGGCCACAGTTGATTCTTTGATCGATACTTTGAATGCAGAGCAGGAAGCTCAAGCGCAAGAATACATAGACAAAGCACATACGAGCCTAGACAACGCGCGATCACTCGCAATTGACTTAGAAGCGAAAATGTATAGCGCCCACGATCAGATGAACTTTGAAGCAGACAAAAACGTATGGGAAGGGCAAATAATGGCAAAGCCAAAACTACCAGCTATCCCTATACCGATTTTTTCGGGTAAAGCGTGGCAATTTGAAAACTTCTGGACATTATTTGAGGCTAACGTCAATAGTCAACCGTTAACAAAATTGCAAAAGTTCAACTATTTGATAAGTGCTCTTAGGGGAGAGGCGCGAGAAACCATACAGCGTTACCCCATATCAGAAGAAAATTACGACCTCGCACTAGATCTACTTCGAAACAAATATGGAGACGAGTTCAAACTTATTTCAAGCCTACAACATCGACTTGAAGGGGCAAGGGCGGAAAACAATTCCATTCCAGCGCAGCGAAAACTTTTAGAATATCTTATACCCATAATAGCACAACTTCAGAAAAAGGGTGTTGATTTAAAAGGTTCCTTTACATCGCAAAAAATTCTTTCGAAATTCATTCCTTCTATCCAACGAAAAACCTTAGAACAAAAGATGGAAGGATGGCGTACAGAGGAAGATTGGAGAATCAATGAACTTTTGGAAGAGTTAGATAAACAAATAACCAAAGAAGAGCGCATAAATGGAATGGTAACGGAAGTTAAAATTGGACGAAATAATAAAATCCGAGAGAACCCACCAAATCAGAATCCCATAGTACCAGTATGTTTGTTTTGCAAATCAACATGGCATCGCTCGATGTTTTGTTCAAAGTACGCAACGATCGAACAGCGCCGCAAATTCTTTGAAGAGAATAAGCGTTGCTACAATTGCGCGAAAGAGGGACACTCTTCAAAACAATGCACAGCGATAAGCTGCAAGTTGTGTAGCGGGAAAAAACACCACCATACACTTTGCCCAGTGAGGGCGAGGAAAGAGGTTGAAAAAGTAGATAAGCGAACAATTTTTTCAAGAGAAAAGCCAACAAGGACGAACTTTTCGACACAGAATACTAGAGCAAAACCAGTGAGAGCGCAAAGACCAAATGCTACGGTAGCCACAGCACACCCTATAAGCACAAGTGAATGCGAAAACACCCAAGAACTGGATACACACATGGAAAGCATAGCAGAAGAAGAGCATAAAGCGACAGTTTTCCATAATCAGGAATCAGAAATAAATTCTGCGGATACGGTTTTACTATTAACGGGGTCAGCGAGAGTAAAGGATGAAAAGCATAACATTTGGAAAGAAATTGAAATCTTGTTTGACACAGGGGCAGATAGGTCTTTTATTTCATTAGCGTTAGCGAGGGACTTGGGGCTGGAAAGCCCACGTTCACAAGACTTGATAATGTATACGTTCGGAAGCACAGAACCGAAATCTACTAGATGCGGGGTCACCACGTTGGAGTTGTGGGACCAACAAAACAAAAAACACAAAGTCCACTTATGCGCTACGCCAATACTTGTTACAAAAGGAAAGACTGCTCATCTTACTGAAGCAGACAAACAGTTCATCGCTCGCAACAATCTCACGCTGTCAAAAACCCCATGGAACGAGGAGATCCATCCGCAGATACTTTTAGGATGCGACCAATTGTGGAACTTTTTGGATGCACCTAACCCAAAATTCTCTTTACCATCAGGGTTACAGCTAATCCCTTCTAAACTAGGGTACTTACTGTGTGGTAAACAACATCCTGAAGAACTTCAGAAAAAAGAAATAGAGACTCAGGCAGAGGCAGTAGTCAACACACTAGTGAATTTTGACGACGAATTGATGCAGTGGGATAAATACTGGACGATAGATTCTTCGGGAGTATGTGAATTTACTGGCACTAAAAACGCCGAAAAGGAAGCAGTAAACGAAAAAGTGCAAAGGTTCTTTGATGAAACCATTCAAAAAAGGGCCGATGGTTACTATGTCAGATTTCCGTATAAAGAGAATCATCCTCCACTACCAACCAATGAAGCAATTGCGCGGAAAAGGTTAACAAGTGTACTATCCTCACTGAAGCTCAAACCAAACATACTATCAGAGTATGAGAAAATCTTCCAAGATCAACTGGAGAAAGGAATAATAGAAGAAATACCTAACCTGTTACCAGCGCAGGGATTACTTCATTACATTCCTCACCAACCGGTAGTGACACCAAAAAAGGAAACTACCAAAGTTCGCATAGTTTTTGACGCCTCTTCGCATTATAAGCAATGCCCATCACTCAATGATATACTCCACCAGGGCCCCCTTATACTGCCGGACATCATTTCGCTATTGCTACGATTCAGAATCCCGGCTTATGCGATTACTGCGGATGTAGAAAAAGCTTTTCTCCAAGTACATCTGCATGAAGAGGACAGAGACGTCACTCGGTTCTTTTGGGTACATGACGTTACACTTCCTGCGGAAGGTGATAATATCAAAACGATGCGCTTCACAAGGGTTACCTTTGGACTTAATGTATCACCATTTCTATTGGGGAGAACTATACAGTTCCACTTGGAACATTTTGAGCAAGACCATGAACTCGCGCAGGAAATTCGTGAAAATCTCTACGTTGACAATCTCATACTTTCTGCTCAAACAGTAGAAGACGCAAAAATAAAAGCATTACGAGCTCGCAACATTTTTGAAGAGATGAGAATGAATCTGAGAGAATTCGCGTCAAATGCCACGT